AGTCGGATCTAAATAATCATGTATATGCATGATTTTCATACAGTAAATTCAAAGTAGTCAATGTTTAGCATTCAATAAAGGAAACGAAAAAAATAAACTTATAGAATACACAATAAAAAGGTAACTGTAATTTGGAACCATACATTTACATGATTTTATTAAAACAAATTGAGATTTTATCCTAATGAATCAAAATTATCAACCTGAGCTCGCTATTTAAAACTTCGGCTCGACTTACAGAGTTATGCCCAATGAAAATAAAACCGACCTTGGTTAATATAATAAAGTTTTGAAATTAATTTTATTTGCATATTATAACTTTGCAATTAAAAAGAAATAGTGAAAATATAAATATTTCTATCTTATATTTTTTTTTATGTTTTGAGTAAAAACATTTCTATGAACATCATTTATCATGTTTTACATACACACATATATGTTTTGGGTTGGTAAAAAGGTTGAACAAAAAATGTTAAGTTAATTCTGTAAGAAGTATAGGATTCCAAAATACAAGGCTACAGTGGATTTGTGATAGTTTTAAATACATCTAATCTGTTACTGTCACATATATAATGCGAGATAGTTTACCCCTGAATTGATGTATACTGTGAAAGCATGATGTCATTTCCTTGTTTTCAAGATCCGACGTCGAACTTCGAAAAAACTTCGATGTCAACAATTTTTGGCAAATTCCTTAAATTTCAAATTGTTCCCAAGCTTCGCTGTCGGACTGCGATATAGGTTGCAAAATCTCCGCCATCAAACTGCGACGTAGGTCTCCGACAAGCTTCATAAAGTCCAGAATTATCAACCCGACAACTTCTCTGTCGTAAAAAGTTGTCGGAGCTCTGACTGTTTATGTCTAAGCAAAGGCGTAGTAGTCAGTCGGAGCTTCGATTTATGTTCGACATAGGCCAAAATGTTTGTTGGGCCTGAATATTATCTTTAACTAGTTTGGGAACTCAGCTTTCCCCGAATATTATTTGCAAAGAGATTAGAATATATATTAGAGGAGAATTTAGTAGGAAAAAGTGTAAAAAGTATATATTCTATTCTCTTTGATTATTTGCAATTAACTTAGGAACCCAGCTGATCTAAAAAAACTTTTCAAACCAAGCAAATTTAGTTGCTCTGACAAAATACCCGTTTTGAATTTTAGGCAAATCAGACAACTACCATATATATGTAGAATCAGAACATTAGACTCTTCTTATAGGTCGTCTGCAGTGTCTCATCCTTTCTGGTTAACCCTGTATTTTATTTGTTAAATCTGGAATAAGGTAAAAAAATAACTGTTTTCAACAAACAACAAATTCAGTATCATACTTCATTTAAGGTTAAAATTCAAACATAAAAAAATGAAGTTAAAAAAAATAATTTTTATATATTTATTCAATAAATCCAGTAAAATCAAAATATTAATCAAATAAATTTTAAACAAAAGTAAAAATCGACATAGCAATCACTGTTTCCAAAATACGTTATTTAAAGAACAAAATAATAACTATAAATAGGACCAGTTACAAAAATTAATAGTTTTCGTATCGATTTGAAGCAATAACTAGCTCCATATTATCTCCAAAACTATTGAATTAGATAGGACCTGTAACTAAATTGTGCAGGTTTTAACAGCGATCGATCCCACATCTTCCCACATCTTCTAGACCTGTAGATTGAGTGGATATGTTGCTCTCTAAATTAAGCAAGGGGAGAGTCTCATACCTTTCATTTTGGTTTCTGTTTTCTTTCTCTCTTTTTCCTTCCATATCTGCGCTTTTATCTTTGCTAGAGTTAGAACTGCATCCGAACCATCCTTTTACTCTGCTTATTCCATTAACACCATTTCCTTTTACTCTGCTTATTCCACTAACACCATTTAAATCTGACCATTGATGTGCAAATTTGTAGTGGAGAATCTAAAAAAAAGTTTAAGTTAATTTTATGCTTGTCTCTAGTCGTATAACAATGCACAGGTAAAATTCGTTCATTCTAGATTTAACACCTTCAACACTTAAAATAGAAAACAGATTAATCTCAAAAAGTCTAACAGCTAAAAATATGCCATAGTGGATTTCCAAAGAACCAGCAGAGAAAAAGAGGAAATACTCATTGAATATCAAATTTTGTTGGTTCTCTGATCTACTGGATTTATTCCTGTTTAATTATTTTTGAAATCAAGAACACTTAATGCAATTCTTTCTTCAAATTGACAGTGTAAAGATATACTGTATAAATTCTATCAAATCTAAATTCTAACACTAATCTTCTGGAGAATTTTGGAAATATTATTTCCTATTTTTAATTAGATGTCAACTTGGGTGGGCAGTCGGATCTAAACCACAATAATTTATAGTTACTTGCAAAATTTGGACCTTTCTGTCTTCCAGTAGCCATATATTCACATGCCCTTGCCATTTAAGCATGTGACACATGGATAATGGATAATTTTTGTGGCTATTGACATCCTGCCTGCATGCCCAATTTTTTAACACCTAGTAGTGTCATTAAAGTTTTTTAAATATAACTTGCCTGGAATACTATTCCAAAGATCCACAAGACGAGAACACAAAAAATTCCATTGATTTGACTTTGGTATGGAAAGCAGATATACTCTGGGTATATAGAAGGGAATATCACAGGAAGTAGCATCATCACAAGATTTTCAATGGCTATTAGAATAAAGAACGCTGATTGTGAAAAGAAGGTTTCTCCACTTTCCAAATGTGTTAAAACTACTAATGAGCATACACCACTTATAAAGATTCTGAACAAATCTTTGATTGTAGAACATTTTTCTTTAGTTGTGTTCATTATCTTGATAATGAAGACAAAGATAAAATGTAGAGATGTAAATATGATCAGTGGTGTCACAGATTCCACAAGGGTTAAATTGCAAAATATAAAAATTCTAGTAATAACTTGACACAGAATACTTAAACATATTGGAATAGTTTGTGATAATTCCATGGGTGCCGGTTTATCCGTTTTCAATAGAGCAATGCTGATACCAATAGATAATGTTGACCACACAGTTTTGCCCAACATCTTCTCGATTTGACATGAGGAGGTCAATCCAAATGTAAGAATATACAGAATTCCAGACATGGTTCTCAGAAGAAGGTCAGGGAAACTCCATCTCATTATATCTGCAAAGTATGGCTTGAGCAGCCATATTTGCAACAACAGCTGGATACTGTTCTCTAGCCCACTCTCTACAGATTT